TTGATTAGATCAATCAGGTTTTTTAGATTATTAATTATTTGTCTTTTTATTTAATTAATTAAATTAGTGATTAAAAAGTTAGGCTTATTTTTTTACAATATATAAACGAATGAAATAATAAACAATAATAAAAAGAAAATTTTATCATGCATCTGACTATACCGCTATAATAAACTGATCAATCTGAATTTAAAGAAATTGTCTTAGAGAAAAATAGAAAAAATTTAATAAAAAAAGGAAAAAATGGGATTAGTAATTCCAATCAATGTAAAAAAAGGATTGAGTCATCATGCATCTGACTGTGTTATCGCAATGAGCTGAAGGTCCATTTAAAATGCTGTGCTCACATTCATCTAAAATGGCAGAATCCGTTCTAACCTACAAAATCAAAAAAAAGTGATTATTAATTTTATATATTTTTTTTATTCGCCTCCCTCTTCCTAGTTTAATTTTTTTATTAATTTTTTATTGTTTTTCTATTTAGTTTTTATATTTTTATTCGTCCCCTTTACCCTGTTATTATTTTTTTTAGTTTTTTTTTTTTTGTTTTACTATTTCGTTTTATATGTTAAATATTTTTTTTATTTTTATTCGTCTAAATAATTTTTTTTTTCTATTTAATTTTATATATATTTATTTTTTAAATATTTTTATTAGTTCCTCTCTATTTTTTTTATTAATTTTCTTTATTTTTTTAGATTTTATATTTTTATTATTTTATTTTTTTATTCGTCTTTCCTTCTTCCGTTTAATTTTTTTTATTAATTTCTATTTAATTTATTAATTTTATTTTATTTTTTGATAGTTTATATATATATATATATATTTTTATTAATTTTTAATTTTATTTTTATTTATTCTTATTTGATTTAATAATTTGATTTTTTTACCTTTTTTTCTTAATTATTAATAATAACAATTGTGATTTTAAATATACTGGAGATTTATTATTTCTGAAACCTGAAGCATTATCCTAGCTTAATTGCTAGTAAAAATTATAAACAATAAAAAATAATAATAAAAAGAAAATTTTGTCATGCACCTGACTGCGTCACTTTGAATAACTGAAGGGTGTCACATCTGAAAGGGCGGAATCAGTCCTAACCAAAATTAAAAAAAAGCTATTAGATTTTATTAATAATCAAAAAAAAATAAGTAAAATAATAAAAAAAGTTACCCACCTTAATGTATCGCTATGACAAACCAAAATGGAGAATCTATCGATCTAACCTATAAAATAATAAACCAACAAAAAAATAAATAAAATTATTAATCAATAATTATGAACTGATTAATTAATTATTAATTAAGTAAATAATTAACAATAGGAATAAGCATTACATAATATTAGAAAAATAACAACAATAAAAACAATTTTATTATACACCTAACTATGCCACCATAACAGACCAAATCTTTTTTTTTTAAAAAAAATATTTAAACAACTTTTATTCCTTGAGGTAGATTCCTCCTGCATCTTTACCTCTACCTTATATTCTACCCTTCCTATAAAAAATACACTCCAGAATATTTCCATTTTATACCCATAATTGTACTTATGAATCCGTAAATGTTTAGTGTACCTCAACTGGTTGAGTAAGTAGTCTGTAATTTTTCCACAATATCATTTATAGAAAAACGGAATTTAAACGGACCTATTAAATTACTGAAAATTTTACAAATAAAAATGGAATAATCAATCCGTTTTTCATAATGTTATTTATAGAAAGAAAAATGGAATAATCAGTCTATTTTTCAATTCACAAATAAAATGGAATAATCAGTCTAGAAAACCAGAATTTAAATGGACATATTAAATTACTGACAATTTCATAAATAAAAATGAAATAATTAATCCATTTTTTCATAATGTCATTTATAGGAAAATGGAATTCAAACGGACCTATCAAATTATTGGTAATTTCGCAATTAAAAACGGAATATTATTTTAACATGAATTATAACAAATCACGATAAAAATATACACAAATATAATAATGAAAATTATCAGAATCTAATCTGGTTTTCTCGATCGATGATATAATTCTCATTTTTGGCATTTTGAGAAATCCAACACTTCTACAAATTGCACTAACATTAATTACTTCAAATGTACCAAGATTCCGAAACTTCAATAGACCATGTCCAGAAGGCTGGGGATTTCGTTTCTATTGTACATAGGCTAGTATAGACCAGTTATCATTGTATTGGTGTGAAAAAAATATTGAACCTCTTCAAAAAATTTGCGTTCATCCATGATAATCAGAGCATTTTTATAATGAGCATTTCGATCAACCATGAGTTTGGCCTAAAAAGCTAGTATTAAATGGTAAATTTTTGGGAAAATCATAGTATTAAAGATGTACATACGGTAATGCAGAAATTCATACGAGCAACATCACTCTTGCGATTTGATAGTTTTGAATTAACTATCAGCCCATTTTTTGTACAGAGTTTTCCATACTTATGTATGAAACCTGTAAATAACTTTAAAAAGTGTTAGAAAATTAGAAATATCTGAATTGAGACAAAATAGAAAACTTACTATAAGCTGATTTGCCCTTTTATTTAATGCTGTTATATAATAAGTTCTGAGACGTTGTGTTTCAGTTCTATTCATACAATATTTGCGTGATAATAAATACAACTCTTCTTCAATACCCTCAATTGCAAAAATGCGGCTTTCAGAATAATTTGATATTTTCTTTGGTTCTTTTCCAAAAATCCTATAATTTATTTTAGTCTTATACTGAAGATACGAAAAACGAGTCTACATAGTAATTTGATTCTGAAGATTTGTATAAGGATGCTATTTAGAGCGCACCAGAGATAATAGCATTCAACATAACCTTTCCATCGGATATTGCCAAGTTGCCTATGCAGGTCCAGTATTATGAATAGAAGCGGAAATGTGTAGCAAATAGTGATAAGAAATAAGTGTTGCCGGAAGACGACTAGGGTTATTCTGAAGATATTCTCTGGTAAAATAAAATAATTTAATCTAAGTAAAAAATATTGTAACAAGAATTTGCTTTATAATAACATACAGTACTTTTCATAATGTGTAACAAAATCACAGAATAGTTGGCCAATTTGTGTTAGCTCTGATGTACTGATATTTTGCTTGAAACAGAGTTTAACCGCATACACAAATTTTGCCCATCCATTTAAAATCCTGAATTATTCCAAAAATGTTAAGATATAATTCAATAAATTAGTGACTATTTAACATTTATAAACATACCTTTCTGGAAGATAATTTTGTAAGAGTGGAAGCGAATATAGTATTACCCAATTTGACCAGTCTTCTGCCTTAAATGAAGCTGAGTGTTTCCGAATATCAATAAGTGAACGACCAAAATCTATTGGCATGTTTTTTCGATTTTTTTCCATTGTTTTTCCAATTTCTATTTAAGCACTATTAGGAAGAATATATTTTGTATTAGAATCTTGACCTTCTTTAAAGAAAGTACCAGACCAATGCCGAATCATTGCTGGTGCAATATTTTCAAATAATCCATGCATGATGTCAATAGGAAATGACGTCAGAAACTCAATTGATTTGAGTTCAAATAATATGCTTTGACCATTTATGCCTAAGGAAACAGATAAATTATTAAAATTATAATTTAATAATTATTTTTTAATGTTATTTTCAATACTATTAACTTACCTCTCGCTCACACTTTGTGTTTACATAATGATCCATTCATATTTTCTATGGCTGTAACATCTTGTATATAATTTTTATGTGTTCGTAATAGAAGGTTTTTGGGATTATACTGAATATCTGAAATACTAGTTGGAGGCTTGAGTGAAAAGTAGACATAATGATTTCCTTGATGAATTACTTCACGAATTGAGCAAAATTGGTAAGCCTTATATGAATTATGTCCGGTTGTACACATAACCTTAGTGAGTGCAGGGATATCACCAGACCAACTTAAAATGTATGCACGAAGAGTAAATGTACTTTCAGTCATGCTATCAAAGCATTGGACACCTAGATTAGACCTGTAATGATTTTCTTTACATTCTGGATATTGGTTCTCATTAGAAAGCTCTCCAGTAAATGTTACGCATGAGTTGACACAACAATCTATAAGATTCAGTTCCAATAGGATAATTTTTTTAAAAAACTTTCTAAGTTTGTAAATAGATGTTCCAGGAATTTCTAAAACTTTAAGAATTTCGTTAAATGCAGTATCTGAGATGTTATGTCTATCCTTAATTTGGAGAAGCCGTAAACCTTTGATTAAATCTTCTGAAATTTCATCATTATATTCATGATTCTCATCTTTCTCATTAATTTCTTCATTATTCTCATCATCGCTATCATCATCATCATCATTATCTTCTTCATTTTCTTTATCATCATCATCTTCTTCTTCCTCCAATATCTCGAATTGATATTCATTAAAGAATTTATCAAATATTATATGACTATCTTTATCATCATCTTCTTCATCTTCCAATACTTCAAGTTGATTTTCATTAAATAGTTCGTCATATATTATATGACTGTCTTGACTGCCTTCATCATCTTTCTCTTTATCTTCCAATACTTCAAGTTGATCTTCATTAAACAATTCATCAGACATTATATAACTGCTTTGGTTGCCTTCATCACTTTCTTCTTCATCCTCCAATATCTCGAGTTGATCTTCTTCATCAGACATCATATGACTTTGTATCACTGTTTCTTCACTTATTACATTTCATTATTATGATCTTGATTTCCATTATTTTGATTCGCTTGACATGGTATTGAAACATTAGCAGGTAACGATAATGGAGATGTAGATAATGGATTCACAATGGTAGCGGATGATGATACTAAAGATGGCGCCTCAATTAGTTGCAACAGGTGACAAATAAGCATCACAATATTGCAACGAATTGCAACATTATTAAAATTTAAGTTGCAACAGGTGACAAATAAGTGTCACAATGTTGCAACGCCATCTTTAGATGATACTATTAGAATATGAGAAATAGAAATGTCTAGTCATCGCTGTAGTATAGGCATATTATCTAGATTGGATCAATATTTTTTCTGTTTTTTTATATGTTTTGCACACGTTGTCCGACTAACTGGTATACCTTTACCACTTGATTCTTGTAAACACCAAATACAAGTACATAAAACCGTTTTGATCATAATAAGAAATTGTTATCTAAATATATTTGAATTATTATTATTTGATACTTAATTATCTAGAATTATTAAAAATTAATATAATTTTATTTAGAATTTTTAATATAAATTTTTTTTTTTGTAAAATGTAAATAATAAATTTGTGAAATATATTTTAATATTTTTATTTTTGTAAAATTTATATGAATAATAAATCCGTAAAATCAATTAAGATCAATAGGTGGCATTGATTGAAATCAATAATAAGTGAATATAAAAAAGCAAATTTTATACTAAATGACGTAAACTTTTTATAGTATTTATAATATTAGTAAAATTATCAGTCTAAAATTAAAATTATTATTGCTGCGTCATAAAATCTTACAAAATCAAACTTTAATAATAATATAATTTGATATAAATATGCTTTATTTTTTTTTGCAATCAATCAAACTTTTCTTTCCTTTACTAATCACTTTTTTTCTTTTATTAAAAATATTCTCAAAAATCTTTGAATTTCAAATAAAAAAAGACAACATTTCAATTGATGCTTCTAAATTTGCACCTGAACAACGTTATCGTCTTTTTGCAGCGTTATTTGATGCTGATCATCCATACCTGGTTCACTAAGCCCTGAACAACGTCATCGCTTATATACTATATTAATTGCTATTGATTCTTCTCTTACAGGATCACTTCTGGATGCACGTAGTGCCATATGTGGTATTACCAATGAACAAGTAAGTTTTTTTTATTCTTTATAATAAATATTTATTACTTGACTAATATGATTTATATTATAGTTTCCTGTAGGTCTATGATGAATCCTCTCAAGATTAAAGATTACAAAGATTATAAAAAAAATCAAAAGGAAATCAATAAAGAGTTTCAATGGAATGATTTTCTAAAACTTGATAAGAGCCAATACTTGAATTTCAGGGTAAATGTTTATAGTTATTATATTTTAATATTGTATATAGTTTATTAATTTTACGTTTTATTATATTACAGAATGATCTACGAAACCGCGCAGCATCCCATTTTTTACGAGGTGAATCTTTTTCCCATTAACCAAAGGGTAAAGCAGAAGAAGTTATTAAAGATGTAAGGGTATTCAGAATTTATATTTATAAAAAGATATAGAAAACTAATATTTATTTATTATATAGTTTAAAGTGGCAAATCCAACTTTTCCATTCTCTGAATCCGATTTTATTCTTCACAATTGGCTCACTTTATATTGCAACAGTATGGGTAAGTATTTTTTTGATAGTTTTTTAATAATGGTTTAAATGGTTTAATTATATTCTAAATTTATATTAATGACAGTTGATCAAGTAAAAAAGAAAAAAATCAATGAAGCAAAGAAACAAGGCCTTGCACCACTACTACCAAAGAAGAATATTCAACTTCCACCACAAAAGCATAAAATAGAAGATGCAAAGAACATTCTTAATGAAGTAGCCGATGATGTACAAGATTCTGAAGGTATTATTATATTTTTTTAATATTTTTGTTTTTATTAATAACCTTACTTTCAATACATCTTATATTACATACAATAGATGATTTGGGCTCCACTAATACTACCGAAACTGTTAATACATTTCAAGACCTTACACTAATATTACCACCAAAGAAAAATAATTGACCTTCACCACAAAAGCGTAAATTAAAAGACATAAAAAACATTCTTAATGAAGTAGCCGATGATGTACAAGATTCCGAAGTATAATTATATTTTTTAATATTGTTTTTGTTTTTTATTACAAAACTTTACATTACTTACTTTCAATACAAAATAATAGCGATTACACCTCTTATTACGACTGCAACTGATGTTTTAGATTCCACTGATACTACCATCGAAACTATTAACACTTCTCAAGGTAGAGGTAATATTGTTAATGTCTTATTCTTGTATTTATAACATTATAACTATACTTATTATTTTCTGTTTTATAAGGTAAAAAGAAGCAAGTAAAACCAAAGATAAAGGAAACTTTATGTCAAACATGATCTAGTAAGAGAGTTAAAACTGGTAAGAATCGAAAAAATTAATAAATTATATTCATTTCAGAAAATAGTAAACTTTTATTTTGATTTACTTTAGTAAAAACTCCATGATTCTATTGGCCTTATTATAACTTAATATTTGGATACTGAGGAAATGATAGACTTTTATATTGGCTTATTTCAGTGAAAACTCTATAGTTTTGTTTGCTTTAATTATAGCTTGTATTTGAATAATATTGATATTATTATCATATTTGATCCAGAATTTTAAGTAAAATGAAACTATTTAATAATTTATATTTGGCAACTAAATGTTTGATATTTTCAGTGTAATCTTTGAATAATTTCCATATTTTGATAATAAAAATTTCAGAAATATGCTACATTTACTGAAAAAACACGGAGCCTTATATATATTAATATAAATGGAAAAAACTCAGATTTATATAAATAGAAAAAAGACGGAATATAAAACATGGAATAATTCAATCTAATTTTTTTATATGGATGGTACTGGAGGTACATATATATACCATATATTTTATTTTTGAGTTCATAATAAAATAATTAATGATATCTTTCATTTATATTTTGTATTATTAGGAACGGGTCAGTAAAATTGCTGAGAACTACAATTGTCGAACTTATTAAAGTAGCACAAGTACTCTACCACTACAAATATAATATATATGAGACTTATCGGATAGTCTGCAAAGAAAAAAGTTACTTAGATAGGTGTAATTAAGTTAAATGTACAAGTTTATTGATGGATTAATTTGTTTATCTTAAGTATTTATGCATAATCACTATGTAATAATCAAAAAAAATAGTAAATATAATACTTTGCGTTATTTAAAATAAATCAGCATTTAAAGTTTTAAGCTTACTTAATAAGACCCAATTCTCGAAGATATTCTGGAATAACTACATATGAGTCTTTGTAATACCAAATATACCTTAATGCAATCTGGTTCTTTTCGCATAATTCTTTCTTAAGTTAATCCCGCTCTTGTTGTTTGATAAAATTATTTGTATCACCATTATGGAAGAATTTGATATATTTTCATGTTGTACATCTTGTACTTCGATTGCAAAGCCATATTCTGGGTAATAAATATCAAGTTCTAATCCTGTGAGACATTCTGGTATTTTGAGAAAATTAGGTTTGCAGATTAGTGAAGAAAGGCCAATATACTCTATTAAAATCTCGTGACATAACTTTTCTCTTTTATATTTCAGATAGAATAGGCATCATGAGTTTAAATATTTAACGTTATCAAAAGTAGCAAACCATCTATACTTTTTATCACACATCCATAATAAAGCTGAATGATTATAATATAATATTTAGAAAGACAAGCTCCCTTTCTATTATAAGTCAATTGTTTGGCATCTTTAAGTGTACAAGGCCTATTATTTGCGCAATATAGACACCATATCTTATTATTTTTCACATTGTTAAAAGATGCATTTCACTCATGCCTTTCAGAATAACGCCATAATAAATGTAAAAAACTATTATCATACATTTCAGAAAGGCATTCTCCGTTCTTACTAAAAGCAATTTGCTTAGCATCTTCAATTTTATGACTGACCTTATTTGCATAATACGGACACCATGTCTTACCATTCTTGATATTGTTAAGAAATGTAGTCCACTCATAACCGTCTGCACATTGCTATCGCATTGGAATATTAGCATTAACATATTCAGTAGAAAGACAAAGCCCATCACATTTTCCAGCAATTGCATAGCATCATTTATTGTCAACTTTTTCATTGCAAATTTCAGGAGTAATGAATTTTATGATCCTTTTTTTCACTTTTTGTGTAATTCTACCTCTTTTTGAAGATCTAATAGAGTATCAAATCTCAACTGAATTGCCAGTAGATCATTATCTGATTTATTTAGATCAAAGACAATAAATTCACCTTTTCAAAAGTAACTATTAACAACCATAGAGGTATTTTTCACATCTTCAGTATATCATCTAATGACCTTGGAAATATCTTGATGGGAACTGCCACCATTAAAGACTATTAGATGTGAAATATTTTTACAGATAATTATTAGTATATGATGGTAACGTTATGTTATATATATGCTTGAAATGTTTCTATGTCACCTATGTGTAAAAAATGGAATGATTTGATTTTGAATGGACTCAGGAGTCACATATAAATCCTCAAAGATAATTGCTGTATTTTTCTCAGGTGAAAATGCTCTTGTACTAGGAATTTTTTCAGGTGAGATATATTTGAAAGTAATATTTTCATAGTAAGGCGCTTTCGAATCTTTTGAAATTATGCTATATATATATCTTATGAATACCCATTTTGATTCATCAGAATGGTAATCGCAAACTATCAAATCATCACATGCAATATATCTAGACTGCCTTTTTTACCTTTATATATACATTCAGATATATCACCAAGAAAAAGATTCGCCAAAATATTAGTCTTACCTGTTCCACTTTTTCCTGTGACTACCATGCTGAAAGGGCAGTCAGGACTTGCTTTACGACCTTTTGCTCGAGATGACATATGCTTCCATATCTATAAGGTAAAGTTTCATAGGAGTAGTCCTGTCTTTTGGTTCTTCTGTGTATCAGATTAGGAATTCATAACTCTGATTTTTATTTAAGAGTATTTTATAATTCAAAAGATTTTTTCTTAGGCAAAATATTGGTTACTTTTTTTTCGCGAATTCTACTATTTCCTGACCATAAATTATATGATCACAATTAGTAGTAAAACAAGTATGGAATATGTTACTATCTACGTCAATAGAGAACTTGTAACAACAGGAACAGTCGCTAATGCTAATTGGTTGCATAGTAATCTATTTTCATTTATTAACTTTAATCGTCCTGAATACAGAGTATTTATTTCCCGTTTATATATACTATCTGATGATTCTTTCCTTTTTCCATACATTCTATTTTATAATTTTTTGAATTATTATCCTCCTTCACTTGATCCAATTCAAGCCTGAGAGAATCGATCTCTTTAGGGTTGGATGAGCTTATTTGGGCCAATCCCTCTATTACTCTTCCCATTACATCCAAATCATGATATGTACGCTCTAGATCTATATCCTCTAACTTACCTTCCAATTCACGTACTTTAGTTTCAAGAGAAAGAATCTGCATCTTATCAGTGGACGAAGCTTTCTGAGCTAAAGTTGCCTCTCTCTTTAGTATTTTAATATTTGATTTAAGTGATTTGATTTCAGCAGTATATCTGACTTCAAGCTCACGTTGACTCTCAAAATGAGACTTCCATTCAGAAATAAGTTGGAATCTAACTTTAGCGCTAGATACATTTAACTGGCTAATCTTATTTCTAATATTCTCCTCTCGCTCTGAATACTCTAAATTTTCAGCCTATAATTTTTTATTGAAGTTGATAATTTTAGAGTTAAAATTGATAGCAGTTCTTAATTTTTTTTGAGCTCTTACTCATATGTACTACCCAGCCGATGTCCTCTATCTTTTATATCCTTCAATGTATATACATTAGATATAATCTTGGCATGGTTATATAGCAGGAAAAAAAATGCGCATAACTAAATTTCATTCATAAGGCATCTTTTATTTTTTCTTGTCAAAATAAAAAATCAAATATCCTTTATTGAAAAACATCAGTTTTCATCATTTTTTTATTAGTTTTCATTGTTTTTTATTGTTCAAAAACCATAAATATTGTTTTTTATCATTCAAAAAAGATAAATATTATTTTTTATCGTTCTAAAAATATTGTTAGAAAATACTGGAGGAATTATGCTTAGCTAATTTTTAAAAACTCATTATCAACGAAATGCTAAAATTTTACACCTGAGCAGATCGAGGAAATTAGATGCCTTAAAAATAAGGTTTCTGCATATATGATAGTAAGGAACTACCATATCAATAAAGATCATGTTTCTGATATATGGGATGATTGTGAACATCTGCAACAGAGTGGGGAATATGTATTAGCAGATATGTTACTAGAGTCATTTAACCATGATGATACAGTTCACTTTAAGAACGATTCTTTAGGTTTTTCAAATATTTCTTCAGAGAATCACAGTGAATGTGACATTATTTCTAATAGCAAGAAAAAAAAGTCTGAAGGAAAGAAGTCGAAGTTCACGTTAGCTTTGTCAATATCATCTATTGAGATTCAGCCAATTTCAGCTTCAAAGAAGGATACAAATAATATAAATTTGGATGCATTGTATGAGAAGATGGTCGAAAAAAACACAAAAATTGTAGATGAAAAAAAGAAGCGTTATCCTGAAAATAACAAAAATGATGCAGTCTCTTTTTTTGATAATTTGTCTGATACATCCCGAGAAGCTAGAGTGAAATCTCTTCTTAAAAATCTAGTTAATCATAATGAAAAACTTAAGGGTTTAATAGCTAATATCATCATTATATAAAGATTCACATGTATCAGCAAGAAATTTACCAGTACTTAAGGCCAAATAGACCATTTCTTCAACCTTTACAAGACATTTTTCAAGCTTTACACAGTTTATGCACTTTTTTTTAAGTCCTTCTTACTAGTCAGATTAGAAGAATTAGCTAAAACCTGAGAGCCAAGAGGTACTTCGCATGATGATTCCTGATTTTCTTTTGGCAGATCCTTGAATACTGGAGTCTTGCTAAAGGTTAGGATAATATATGCCTTTCTATGTAACTTTATGTGAAACTGGTTTTTATTTAGCTTAGGGACGCCTTGAACCTTTCAAATATTTGACATACCAAAAAATAGCATTGGTTCTGTTTTACCATTATTAATATGAACAAAATTTCCAATAACTGTGACTGTCTTACCTTCTTTATCCTTTAAGGTAACTGGCACGTCTGTAAACCATCCTAATGAATCAGTAATATGCTTGGAATTGCTCTTTATAGCAAAATTAGATGGTTTATCAGCTTTCTATCTAAGCGCCTTAATTGCTGGATCATTTAAACCACTTAATTCACTGCCAATATCTAAAAAAGATTTGAAAATAGTTAAGTCATTTATATAAATATTGTAAAGATGATAACTATTCATCTGATTCTTTCAATTCCTCCTCCTGAGCCTTTCGAGACAAGCACATTTTTTCATATTGGTGGTACAGTCAGACCTATCTATAATCACCTCTTTTGGTTTTTAAAAATTAAGTGATTATAAATAGGGGTGATTATAAATAAAACCCATTTATAATCACCAGTTATATAAAAGATATACTACGGTGATTATATATAGTAAACCCATTTATAATCACCAATTATATAAAAGATATACTATGGTGATTATATATAGTGAAAACTTAAAATCATGTGATTTTATTATATATGTCAAGTTTAAAATTCGCAATTTTATTAATTTCAAAAAATTAGTAACAAATTAATCTACTGTAACAAAAAAAGAATCAATAGAAGTTTGTTTTTTACTTTCAATTAGTTTAATATTCATTAATTTTGAATATTTTCTAAAAATCTTTAAATCTTCATGATTAAAATTAGAATTATCTGATTGTTGGGTAAAAAAAGTTATAAAATTTTTTAAACCTTGCATTGCTTCTTTTATATCAATTATTTCCAATTCAGGTTCACTATCAGATATAACTTCTTCATTAGGATCTTTAATTACACGTTCAATTATTTGTTTATCATCTAAAAATTCTTCAATTGGTAATTCTTCTAATTCTTCAGCATATTGTTTAATATCACCTAAAAATGGAACAGCAGATTCAGGTAAAATATCAAGAAGATCTTCAATATCTTCAAGTTCAACATCCAATTCAATATCAATTTGATCAGATGATATTTCTTGTTGAATATAATCTATAGACGGTAAAATTCCTGTTTTGATCCAACAATTTAAAATTGTATTTTGTGATACATCTAACCATGCTTCTGATATGTAATTAATTGCTTCTAGTAAATTCAATTTATTTCTTAAATTAAATAAAAAAATTAATTGATTTAATTACATAATATAAACTTAAATAAATAAATAAATAATTTATTCTTACTCTTT